CACGACCCAAAGCCAGATTATAAATCTCCCTCTCACAGTACATATACTATGGACATAAATCAATGTAACAAATGGTCGATTTATGTTTTAATTTTTTTAATGAATATTATCAGCTGGAGTAAATAGATACTGCTTGAAAAATTAAAGTTCAAAATTGATACAATTAAAACTACCCAACTAAATTGACACAAGGATTAATTACAAGAACGTGGGTATAATTTGCCCAAAATTGTTTCTAAAAAGTTGAGTTATAAAGAAAGAATTTGTAGAAAAAATTAATCTCTCTTTTCTATTTTTGATTTTTCAATTATAAATACTCAAGCACTGTGTTGTAAGAAATTTTTACAAGTTTCTAAACATATTTTAGCCACAATTAATTTATTAGAACTATACATTTTTTTGTCCTTTTCACATTTTTAAATGAAATATATAGAGAACAAAACCATGTCTTCTTCGTTAAAAACTAGAAACATCACACAGAACAGTCCGCAAAACAAATTTTTTAGGCTATATTTGGATTATCAATTTAAATAACTATTTTGAAAATATAAAAAAATACATAAAAATTTAATTTATATTTTATTCACATCTTTTTCTTTCTCATTTCATATCCCTATCTAAATTCATTGTGTTTTTGAGGAGAGAACAAAAAACAAAAAATAAAAAAGACAAAAATAAACTTATATTTTATTCACTTTTTCTTTTGAGTACAGCTTTAATCAGTTTTATATACTGTACGAGCACGAAATAATTTTTCTCGTATAATCCTGTTGATCAAGTTTGTACTCCTCTAAACAACGTTGCTTTGCCACCTGAAAACACAAACGTGAGCTAACCGGCAGGTGTATGCCGGAAACCCCTCCGATGCCTAAGTCAGCAACTAGACAATAGACAATAAGTTCTGTGTATTCTAGAGTAAGAATTGGGATATCTGTACATAGGTCTGGTCATGAGCTTTTATAGACTTGGCCTGGCCCAATCCTAGTAGGATTCTAACTCTCCTTATAAGAGTCCTCCTAGGAATCACACACCCTACTCACTACCAACCAAGTGAGATGGTTTTGCATAATCCTAATAAGACTCTACTCTCCTTAGCAGAGTCCTCCTAGGAGTCTTATCACTACAAGCCAAGTGAGATGGCTGAACCCCTTACCTCAGTTATACATTCCTAACCGAACTGCCTTATCTTGGTCCCCTGCCATTCGGACCGTGTGATCGAAAGTCGATCTATCGAATGCCACCCTGCCAAGCTATACACAGCTTGGCCCTTACCATTGATGTTACCTCGGCCTCGTGCTCAACATGGGCGAGCCGTGATGACCATACTATAGGTTGGTATCCTGCCGAACTACACCTAGCTCAACCCATCGCCCTGCCATTATCCCGGTCAGTAGGTAAATAGGTCTCAACCCCAGCAACACATCCAACCGTCCTGGTACCTACCTCAGCCTAAAGCCGAAAAACAAAATATCTCCTTGGCCTATTGCGTGGCCCAACTTCCAAAGAAGACTCGTCCTAGCTCGGCCCAATTTGCTCACAAATTACCCTCTCAATTGCCCCTTAATTTCATCTACGTAGCATGATTGGGATTATTTTTCCTCTAGCCGAGCTAAGAACACCCCACTCTGTCGAGCAAAAAAATTGTTCGGTTTCACAGCTTGTTCGGCCCCAATAAGCCTTGTCAGTTGCTCAATACGTCCTTCCATTAATCTGGCATGTTTGATACGACGTCATTCCCAGGATATGTGACGTACCCCCATTATTCTCGTTCTCCTGCTATAACCGTTATGTATCTTCAAAAATTTGAACAGCCAGCCTCGCATTTTTGCCTTCAACATTTATATCCTTCAAGTTCGCAATCGCACTAGAAGACATTCTTTCTGTGTAACCGGGCTAACTGTCATCCCGGCCAAAAAGTGCAAAAGTTTTGTTTGGCCATACCTGCTAACCGCCTTTTGCCTAGATCATGATCTCGGCTAAAGGGTGCCAAAAAGTTTTGTTGGTCATACCTACCAACTTCCTGCAGCCTAGATCCTTATCTCGGCTTAGGCAAGCATTGGTTTTTCCAGCCAACCACTCTTCAGCCTCGATCCTTATCTCGGCCGAAGAGAGCTAAATGTTGGTCATACCTGCCAACTTCCTGCAGCCTAGATCCTTATCTCGGCTTAGGAAAGTATTGGTTTTTCCAGCCAACCACTCTTCAGCCTAGATCCTTATCTCGGCTAAAGAGAGCTAAATATTTGGTTATTCCTGCCAAACTTCTTCAGCCTAGATCCTGATCTCGGCTGAAGAGAGTTCAAAGTTGGTTATTCCTGCCAACCTAGAGTGAGGTGTTGGTTATTCCGGCCAACCTCTTCAGCCTAGATCCTGATCTCGGCTGAAAAGAGCTCAAAGTTGGTTATTCCGGCCAACGTTCTTCAGCCTAGATCCTGATCTCGGCTGAAGAGAGCTAAATGTTTGGTTATTCCGGCCAAACTCGTAATTGCCTCCCAGTTGGGCAAAGACTCTTGTGCGGTCGGTCATACTTGTCAACCTTGTTAACTCTCGCCAAAGGCTTTTTGTCTGGTATCGCTGTTGTGCCGAACTCTTCCTCGGTGCGCATCCTATCTTCCTCTACCCGGATGTGTTGGTGCATTCTCTCCATTAGGGCTTCCATAGTAAGGGGCGGCGTCATTGTCATTGAATCCCTCAACTTATTGCCAGCCGGCAAACCTCGTTTGTACTGTGCGATAGCTAGGTTTGTAGGACAATCTCCAAATTGATTAAAAGTCTCCCAATACCGATTATTGTAAGACCTCAATGTTTCTTTCTCGTCCATGTCTATGGAGAGAAGCTGGTCAATCTCCACTGGTGTCTTGGTGTTCGCTCTGAATTTGGTCACAAATGCCTTCACTAGTTGCGCCCACGAAGCTATGCTACCTTCTGGCAACCTTTCAAACCACGCTAAGCCCAGGTCACCAAGGCTGGAAGGAAACATGATATACATTAGAGGCTCGTTTCGCCGATACAGGGCCATAACCTAGTAAAAGTGGTTTAAGTGTATGTAGAGGTCCGACTTCCCCTCATAAGTAGTGAATTTGGGCTGGTGGAAGCTTTAGGGTAATGGTGCGTTCTCTATTGTCGGAATGAATGGTGAGCTCTGCAACCTTGCTAACGCTTTGTCTGCTGGTTCATAGGCAAGACGTGGCTCTGGAATTCCAACCTCGACACTCCTATGTGTTCTAGGAGCTAATCGTTGTAGTGCGGAGACTCTGCGAGGATCCCGAGCCTGAGGGTCTTCTCTCCTTCGAACCCTTTCAGTCCTCATTCTCTCAGGCCTGGAGTAGCGTGTCCTGGAAGTCTTTGATTGTGTATTGCCCGACCTGAGGTTTCTACTTTCAGTTTGTGATGGTGTGACTTGTCTGTCACGATCTTCTAAGTGGCAAGAGTGTGTGTTGCCTTTGCGCTCCTCTTTTATTGCCACCCCTTTGCCTTTTATCCGGCTCTTCATAGACTCTATGTCAGCCGCCATTCTTCTTATTACTTCATCTTGCTCCCTTACGCGATCTTCGAGAACTTGAGGATCCATCTTCCGCCTCTATCTATTAGGGCTTTGAGAGCGGTGTGGACTTGAGCCCGTCTTTCTCTCACTTCTCTCTGCAAATTCCTTCACTGGGGATCTAATTCCGCCATGGGTGGGATAGAAGGTAAACCTCCGCACCTCCCACTCCCTTCCGGGGTTTGCCGATCTATAGCAGATTGCGGCAAGTCTTCATTGTGCACCATTGCTTCCAACTAGAAAGGAAAACTCGATCAAGAGGTTTTGTTCCTTCTGGAATTCCCACAAACGACGCCAATTGTACGAGCACGAAATAATTCTTCTCGTATGATCCTGTTGATCAAGTTTACACTCCTCTAAACAACGTTGCTTTGCTACCTGAAAACACAAACGTGAGCTAACCGGTGGGTGTGTGCCGGAAACCCCTCCGATGCCTAAGTCAGCAACTAGACAATAGACAATAAGCTCTATGTATTCTTAAGTAAGAATTGGGATATCTGTACATAGGTCTGGTCATGAGCTTTTATAGACTTGGCCTGACCCAATCCTAGTAGGATTCCAACTCTCCTTATAAGAGTCCTCTTAGGAATCACACACCCTACTCACTACCAACCAAGTGAGATAGTTTTGCACAATCCTAGTAAGACTCTACTCTCCTTAGCAGAGTCCTCCTAGGAGTCTTATCACTGCAAGCCAAGTACATTCCTAACCGAACTGCCTTATCTCGGTCCCCTGCCATTCGGACCGTGTGATCAAAAGCCAATCTATCGAATGCCACCCTGCCGAGCTATACACAGCTCAACCCTTACCATTGATGTTACCTCGGCCCCGTGCTCAACATGGGCGAGCCGTGATGACCATGTTACACGTTGGTATCCTGCCGAGCTACACCTAGCTCAGCCCATCGCCCTGCTATCATCCCGGTCATAAGGTAAATAGGTCTCAATCCCAGCAACACATCCAACCGTCCTGGTACCTACCTCGGCCCAAAGCCGAAATACAAAATATCTCCTTGGCCCATTGCGCGGCCCAATTTCCAAAGAAGACTCGTCCTACCTCGGCCCAATTTGCTCACAAATTACCCTCTCATATACTAAGTGACAATTGATAATTAAATGCTGCCATTAAAAATATTACAACTAGCATAATATGAGGAAATTAGTGATATATACATAAATAAATAAAAAAAGTTCATACATAATTATATGAACCATTATAATCTTTGACTTTAAAATAAAATATCATTAAAAATTAATTTATTTACAATATCACATCATCCTTATTGTTATTATATTTTTTTTTTATGAATTTTATTTAGATTTAAAATTTTTGATAAGAAATGATAAAAGGATTTTTTCTTTTTTCTTTTTTTTTTTTTTGAGTGGAAAGCGAAGTTGAGAAAATAATATCAAGATAAGGGAGTGAGGGATTGAGGATAGAATAAAGAGGGAAAAGGTTTTACCAGTCGGTGAGAGCATTGATAAGGATAATAAATTTGGAAGAACTGATGACTACACTCCGAGAAACACAACTCTCTTCTTCTTCGCACTTCCAACATATTGTTGACTCAATTTGTTGGCAGGAAGATAAATACAAGGCTGTCTTATGATATTATCATAAATAAGGTATATTACAAATACACTTTTTAGTGGTGTTTTGACAAGTTAATAAAAAGTTAATTTTTTAATTTTTTTTATCTTTTTATGAGTAAAAAATATGAGATGTGATGTGACTTAAAATAAGTAAAAACTAAAAGCTGTCTTTTTTTTAGCTTCCCAAAAGACCATTTAGTATTTAGTTAAAATATAATTTGTCTGTATAATTTTGGAAATTATATATTACTTCTTGAAATTTTTAATTTTATAGTAAATAGTTTATTTTATTAATGAATTATCAAGTTAATTAACAGTTTTTAATAATTATAAATTTATTTCAATTAATAATTTAAGTAATTTTATTATTTTATATAAGAGCAGTTTTTTTATTAATAGTAATTTCCATTAAAGTAATGAAACTAAACTACACTTCAAGGAGATCAATCCAACAGAAAGTTTATACCAAAATAAGGAAAATTCTAGTTAAAAAACAAAGGAATAGTCATCAAATGAAGCACCAAGGAGAAGTTATGTATATATCAAGACGCAAAATTCATATTGTGAAGCATAAGTCCGTCATAAGAATTTGACAATACAATAAGTCTATGATAAATATATTGGCTACATCCACACAGAGGATAAGCAACAATCACACTAAAACAAAAACAGTAAAAACACAAAAACCAACAAATCCAAACGCCTAAGTAGAGGTGGTGGCGGATCCAGTGGCCAGAGGACGTAGAGAAAGGGTGGAACCAAATCTGGTGAGGCTGAAAGCGTGGAGACGTGAAGGTGGCAGATCTGATAAGTGGTGGATAATCAAGAGGCGGTGATAGTGGCAGCACCGAAGTGAGGCGGAGAATGATAGAGAAGGTAGATTTGGTAAAAGCCACGGTGGTGAAGAAGAGAGAACACTTCACAAGAAGGAAGAAAGTTGGAAAGGCAAAACTTCCAAGGTTCTTTGAACAAAAGCAAGGAAAACGAATGAAAAAGAAGGGGTAGAAGAAGGAAAGAGAAGGCCATCGGAAACCCTCTCCCCCACCCTAGCCGCTGCACATAAACCCTAGAAGAAGAAAAGCTTAGGGAGAGAGAGCGTTCCAAATTTTACTGACTTATAGAAGAGCAGTTATTTCTTTCGGAAATGAGCCGTGGCTCGAATCCAATGGCTCGAATTGGCTCGAAAGAGGGAGAGAAGAGAGGAGGAAGAAGCAGAGGAGAAAGAGGGAGAGAGGATCGTCGCTGCTCGCCTCGCCACCGCCACCGCCACCGCCGTCGCCTCGCTGCCGCCGATCGTCGCAGCACCAGCGATCGCCGGCTCTGCCTCGCCTCCGCCCCCCGGCCCCCGCTTCCAGCCCCAAATGTTGGGCCCCCTCCAGTCCCTCCTCCTCCTCCCCCTCCAGTCTCTCCTCCTCCCTCCTTCCTCCTCCTCCCCTCCTTCCTCCTCCCTCCCCTGCTTCTGGTTCTGCTTCACCTTCATCTCAAAAACGAGGCCGTTTTTGAATTCGAGCCATTTCAAGCCGCTCGATTTCGAGCTACCTATCACTGCTGTATTTCTTTAGTTAATTCGATTAAATAAAAAATTATAATAAAAAGTCCAGTGTGTTTGGTTTTAGTTTTCTGAATTCAGTTTTTTAAAAATTGAGTTTTTTATTTTTTGTAATTTTTTGTTTGTAGTAAATATTTTTAAAATTTTAAGTATTTTCTTATTTTTTAGATGCACCTTATTTGGATGTATTTAAAAAATAAAATATTTGTGAAAAAATATTTCAAAAAATTAATAAATACAAAAATACAAAATATATTAAATTTTCAATTTTTTTTTTTGTATTTTTGGTATTTAGTGAATTTTTAAAAAAAAATCACGAAAATTATACTTTTTAAGTATATTTATGTTAGGTGTGTCTAAAGATTAAAAAAATTGTTTAAAATATTAAAAAAATTCAATAAAAATAAAAAAATACGAAAAACAAGAAAGTAGAATTTTCTAAAAGGTGTTTTTAGAAAACCCAAACCAAACAAAGTGATTTGTAATTTTTCAAAGCACAATGGATAATGCAATTCGCTTGGTAAATATGTGCTACATAAATATCATTATGGGTAAATTATATTATCCATTTGGTAACATTTATAAGTTAATTTATTATAGTTTTAGATTATAACAATTTTAGCTTATTTGACCTAAATAAGTGAGATCTTCTTAAGTTATAATTCATGATTTTTTTTTTTATCATATTTGAAATTTCTAAATAATTATAGACAAAAGAATCCACCTTCTTTTACTTTAATTATAATTTTTTAGAGCATTTTAGATATTTACAGAACAAAATAGCCGGCAACTTATTTAACCAAAACATGTTCAATTTTTTTTCACCAATTATGAAAAGTTACACCAAACAAATTTTCAACTTATATAAAAACAAATAATCATAAAAGGTAACTTATTAGTGATACTAAGCAGGGGCCATTATATAACATGTACTAAACAGAGGCCATTGACGTCTTTGCGATTTAGAAAAGAAACAATAATACTTACAAATTTGACATATTACATTTTATAAATTAACTTATTTAGCTTATTTGATTAAAAAAATTGACTAATAGCATATGGTAACGATTTTAGATTATAATTCCCCCGCCCAAACAAAAAAAAAAAAAAAAAAAAAAAAAAAAAAAGAAAAAACAGATTTTTTCTTAAGTTGTAATTTGTATTTTTGTTTAGCTTATTTAAAATTCTTAAATACGTATGAACAAAAAAAGCCGCCATAGCTGTTTTAGATAAGTATTTTGGCAACCTCACTAGTTTCTTTGAATTTTAACGCAGATGACCCCTGCAAGTGTCCTTTTTGGTAACTTCACTAGTTTCTTTGAATTTTAATGCAAATGACCATCGAGAGTGTCCATATGAATGCCTCATCAAATAAAATGACCAATTGTTATGGGCAAAATATCTCCAAAACAATTGTTAGATAAATTCTAACAATAATGATGTACAAAAATCATCATCTAGAAAGCTGATTGTTATTGTTCCAAAAAAAAAAAAAAGAAGCTGATTGTTAGAATTATGTACAAATATCTCCATCTACATCCAGAGCTTACAACCATGCCAACAAAAAGTTTCATTAAATAGAAGGGATATAAACTCTCCAAATAGTTTCTAATTAGCGCAAAAAAACATGGCAACCACAGACACCATTCAATCTAGACATCTGAGAATAGAAACTTTCAGAACAAAATCATTTCTCTCCACCAGTTCAAAGACACAAACGTCTCTTGTTTTTAGTGTGTTTTCCCTGCAGAATTTGAGCCAGCCCTGTGAGAGCTTACATGTGGTTTCTTTAAATCTGATCAATTTCACAGGCCACGACTTATCTGGCTTATCTGAAACGAGAAGTGTAACACTCTGTCTATCCTCTTCCATGTAGCTCTTCAGGAATGTTGCTGGTATGTTCTGCAAAAATGGAAGTTTGTGTTGTGTGTTAACATTGTGAATGACATTTATAGATAATCATGTTAACAAATTTTGACCAAAATATCGAAAGTCTACCCTAAATATTAGTAATAGTATTAAGACATGTTATTCATCAAACTTGGATCCATATAGTTGACACATATTTTACCAATTAAGGCATTTCAGCCATAAAATACGAACCCGTAAAATGTCAGCCACTAATGAATGTGTAAAGTCATAAATTATTCCTTCCCCACAAAAATTTACAGATTGTATTTGACAACCCAAACCAAATTCCTCCCCCCCCCCCCCCCCAAAAAAAAAAAAAAAAAAAAAAAAAAAAAAAAAAAAAAAAAAAAAGTGCAAATCAGACTATAAACATGTGGAATAATGCCCCCAAAAAAATCCTTCATCCATAAAAAGTTTTTTCCAGAGGAAACATATATCCTTGTATTGCATAACTTACCATAGGAGAGGAAATCCATCCAAACATCTCAAAGTGAAACAGAATGTGTTTGTTAAGTTGCAGCTCTATGAAAATGTAGGGTTCATGACCTTACCATAAGCCCACCATTAATATAAGCAGGCGCCATAACAACTTTGAAGAATGGAAATTCGGACACGAATTTGCTAGCTGTTTCAAGAGCTCTGTCATCCCCTTGAATCGCCCTGGGAACTTTAAGACGCAAAGTGCCCTTAGTAATTCCCTCACTCCTGGCTTCGCATTCTAGCCTTTCAGATTTCCCTGCATTATGTCAGCCATATGATAATTCTGTGATTTACATCGATTTGCTTCATTGGAACCCGAACTATACATTTAACATACATATTATAAAAAAAAATGTACAAAACGAAACTAATTAAAGAACAACTAGCCTTCGTAATTTTCAGATCTTTTCCTGCCTATTTTTGAATACTTCCGTTTGCAATTATGAATGGGCTCAGAACAAGTATCCTCTTCTTCTGACTCTTCTTCAATCTCAACAGATACAGCAGTCTTCTCAAAAGTTAAAGCTTCTTCTTTCATGCATCCATTCTCCCTAAATATTTTGACATGAAACAACGAATGCCCTTTGTATCTAAAAACTAAGAAGTTCCCAAACTCTAAAGAATTATCATTCACAAATCTTTGCCATCCATTCTTGAAATATATGCCATTTTCAGCTTCTTCGATCTCCACATGCCAAAATTTCCCACCAAGATCTTTAAGTATGGCATTATTAGGTATGGGTCCATTCAATTGCTTGACAAAAGCAGGTGGTACACGCTGCAAAATGGAATATTTATCTTTATTCAAAACATACAATGAGACATTAAAAGTAAAAAAAATAAAATTAAAGCACCATAACATTCTAATTAATATCACCCTTCTATTAGGGGTGCAACTTGTGCGGGCTCAACTCGAGCAACCCGAGCCCAGCCCGAATTTTTTTAGGGCTTGGACAAAATATTTTCAAATTCGGTACGGGCTTGGGCAAAAATTCAGAAGCCCGAATTAAATTTGGACGGGCTTGGGCAAAGATGTCAAACAACCCGAGCAACCCGAAGCCCGAATTATACATATATAGATATATAAAAATATTAAATATAAATATAAATTATTAGTCATTACATGATATTAAAGTAATTTATATTATTAAATCATATTTAATATATATTATATATACAAATAACATAAAACCTTACTTTTTTTTCTTTTTATTTTCACTCATAAATTGTAAGAACTACTATAGTGGCATCTCTCTTACATTATATAAATTATTTATTGGTATTAATGATTTTTTATAATAAAAAAATTAATAAAAAAAAAAAAACTAAAATTCATTTACAATTCGGGCAATTCGGGTAACTCGGACAATTCGGGTTTAGCTTGGGTCGGGCTTGGACAGACAACCTCATGTTACAATTCGGGCTTGGACGGGCTTGGGCAAGTCTCAGCACAACTTGGGCTCTCAACCCGACTGAACCCGCCCGAGTTGCACCCCTACCTTCTATAGCTAATAATAAACTTTTGTTAATGAAAGAGAAGGAAGAATAAAAGGGACTTCTTTCTATTGCAACCAAAAGAATAGTGGTCAAATTGGTAGCTAATGAGGAAAAGTAACAGAGAATATTTAGATGTTTAAATTTGGGATTAATGCGAACAACTACCCTCCACTCAATTTGGTTTTAAATTACAATCCTCATTTGTTTTCTTTAAATCAATTTCCTCAACAACCAAACCAAGAAAACTATTACTGAAATGGAAATTTGAAATTACAATGAATAAATGAATGAAGCATTAATCCAGGTGTGAAATAGAAGAACAAAACCGCCGGTTCTGTCGGTACATTGGGCAAAGAGTTACCCAATCTAATACACATAGGCCTTTGTCTAATTCAAGAGCATGCAATTCACAACCAGAAAATAAAAAAAATGAAAGACAAAAAGCCAACAACTTGAAAAGAAATAAAGAACAATGAGAGAGAGAGCGAGGGAGAGAGAGTACCAGACTTTGGGAGCTCTGATCAGGAAGATATACTTTAAAGAACTCATAAAAGTAAGAGGCCTTTCGACCACAATGACGTTTCGCCATTTTTTTGTGTGTCTTTCTTTATTTCGTCTCCCAATAGCACAAACCCTAATGGGCAGCAGAGAAGGGAACGCTAAACCCAAACAAAACACTCTGAAGGATTAAAAAAATATATATATAAGCTACCTCAAGACACCGGGTGGATTTCCAGCGATGGAGACCGGTCAGTGTAGCTGGACGCCTGGCTGCCCAGAGAGAAGAAGAAATAAAGATCTCAGGAGATGTCGATAGTTTCAATCTTACCAAAATACATTCCTCCGCTTTAAAATGAAAAATTAACCAACTACAACAAATCTAATCTACTTGATGACTTTTTTCGGAGTTAAATTAAAAAGATAAATATTTGGTGTTTTGCAATGAGTGAAGAGATTAATTTTACAAGTGTTAATATAATAATTAATAATTGATTTTTGTTAAAAAAAAATAAAATAATTTGATTTTATATAAACTATTGTAATCTTTTTATTAAACTATAATCAAAATATTTTTAAAACAATTTTTTTATTCTAATTTTTTTTTATCAAATTTAAATTTAATAAAAGATTTAATAAGTCATGAGTTTAATAAAAAAATAATTTTGCATTAAAATATTCTAGTACAAGGTCATTTGTTTTAATCATTTTGTATAATACGGTTAAGAATTGAGAAAAATTATTTATGTGGGTGTTTGAGAAGTGGATTTTTTTATAGATTTTTTTAGTTGTAGGATATTATTGTGTTTGAGAAGATAGTTAGATTTTTTTGTGGTTGGATGTGATGTTTGTGAGAGAAAAAATGAAATAATTATAGAATTTGATGTGATATTTTATTCTGATTTAATTTTTTTTGATTTTGTAAATGTCTTTTAATGAAAAAACCAAAAAAAGAAACAAAAAACCTCCTCCCCTAACAGCACCATGATCAGAAATTTTAACAATTCATGAGTTTATGCTGAGTGATTAGTCTTGGATATATGTACATATATATTTTAGTTGTTGGGGATCTATCCATTCGAAATTTTTACAGCAATTTTTCTATTTATTTTCAAAAAAATGCTGAAAAAAATCTATTTACTTTTTTTTATTATATCAATTTTATTAAAAATAAATTTATAAAACTCAAGTTATATTGTATTTAAAAAAAATTTAAAACAAAATATAAAAAATGTCAAAATTTATTTTTACCATGTTTATTGTTTGGGATGTCTTAAATAAGTGCACTTTTTGACTTTTTTGACTAAAAAGTTGAGAAAAAAATATGATTATTTGGATTAACTTTTTGACTTTTTATGAAAAAAATGTGTATTAAAAAATTGTATAAATTGTGTGTAGTAAACAATAGAATTGGAGTTTGGTCAGCTGTATTTTAAAATTTTGGTGTAATCACATCACCATCCTAGTGATAACTTTTTAACTTTTTGAGTAACTTTTTGACTTTTTAACTTTTTTGGCACATGCCAAACTTGGCCAACAAAAATGATAAAAACTTTTCAAAGATTTTTTCTTTTGTTAAATTCTCCCACTAACTATGGCTTATTTTGGCAACTCAATTAAAAGTAATTTTTAAAATTTTTTAACTTTTAAAGATCATATCAACTTTTTATTTTATTTTTTGCATATTTTTAAAAAAAAATCAAAAAAACAAATTTTTAAAGGTGAAGCACCAATAAATCCCATTTTATTAACTTGTATACTAGTTAGTCCTGCAAATTTTTTGTTAAACCGAAAAGTCCTAAAAACACACTGATTGGCATAGTTGGCCTCATTCACACGCATTGTCGATGTGTGTAGCGGAAATCGACGAGGATGAAATTACTGATGTGGATATAAAAGCTCACTATAGGCTTTTTTTGGTTTCTCTCGTCTTTGATTGAATGCTACAAGCTTCATATGGAAACATTGAGATGAAACGTTCCCACATTAGAGGCATTCCCATGTTAGTTGAATGAAAACCTAGATGATTTAGTGTGTTCACAGAAAACTTGTTCCGTCAAATTCCACATTTGACTTGTCGGCTTGAAACCTAATTACAATAACCTATTCATTGATGAACCACCATCAACAGTATCCAATTACTCTGGCCCGGCGAGGGTTTGGCTGCTTCGTATCCACTGCGTTAAATGTAACGCCCTCAAAATAAAAACATTAAACCCATCAAATAAGACATTCATTGACATATGAGATAACCACATTCTTTTATACATCAGAGTTTCATTACAAAAGTATTACATGTTAACAACAAAAGCAAATGCCCTATGGGCCTACAGCTTTCCAAGTTAACACTTGGTTACAACAAAAGAGTACTAACTCATTACACATTAAGCCCTTGGCTTGAAATTACATGTAATACATCAAAAAGAAAACGACAAAAGTATGTCCGCCTCTAGCCTTCCAAGCTATGTCCTTGGAGGTGGCATGCTACCTGTACCTGAAAATGATATTCCCATATAGGGTGAGCCACAGCCCAGTAGAAATACACTAAACCAACCATGGACAATGACTAAAACATTAGCAATTGATAGTTGGTCAACACTGATACAATCACATAAATTACATATTTAAATCATTATTAATTGTATTTTAAACTTCAATTATTGAATTTTGGTAATAAGTGTTCTTAGGATATAAAGACGATTATAATTTTTCACTTATTTTTAAAACATAGTGATAGCGTTTGATAATGTTTACGTTTTTAGTTTATGTTTACATAAATTTTATAAATTATTTTTTGTTTATTTTTAAAAAAACATAAACTACAAATGCGTTTAGTTTAAACAAAATGTTTGAAAAATTTTAAAAACATAAAATAAAAATATATGTTTGCTCAGGCTTAAAATATTTATATTTATATTTATTTTTTATTATTTATGACAATAGGATCATACACATTATAATTGAAAAAAAATAATTGCAAAAAATAATAATTGAAAAAAAAAATTTGATTGAAAAAAAAATTGTTAGTTAAATTTTTAAATTTCTGTTTAAAAATCAATATAAACTCATTTTTTGAATTTACGTTTTTTACTCAAATTTACAAACTGAGATAGCAATTTATAAACCAAAAAATTATCAAACAAGTTTTTATGACAGTTTTTAAAATTTTTATAAATATAAATTGAAAACTGAAAACGAAATGGTTACCAAACAAGTTTCAGATAGTAAAAATGTCGTAAAATTAATAAATAATTAAATAAGTTACCAACGTAAGAAATGACTTATTAAAATATTC